GTTATTGCATTCTTAGTTAATCACCGGTATAGTATTTCATAGTTTTATTTTGAATAACAATTACTGAATAAATAACATTCTGTCTGTACACTTAGTGACCTTTATAATAAATGTATAAATGTGGATACGGACAAAAACACTGTACAGACATTTAAATGTAAACAAGATCGTGTGTGTTTGTGTGTCTATGTGCCAAAGTATGCCGAAATCAAAAATACTTTCTGTCCACTTTAACCTTTCAATATCAATTTTACCTAACACAATGTTGGTTATGTCAAGAACTTCACTTCCATCTTACCTCTCGAGAAAGTTTTCATAACTAATAATACGACTACTGCTATAATCCACTTACCAGGATGATTTGTGAAATTGACTCCTGTATATTCAGAAAGGTAACACTCATGAATTTAATCGTTTTAATTGAATTTGAACAAAGCAAGAACGACAAATGTAGGATAGCAGGATAATATGAGTTCATCTCTTATCATTTTAAGTATTCTTCTCAACTGACTACTACCTGAACAATACAAAAATATAAATTACATTAAAGATTCGAACGTACTGTTCCCATGATGACAAGGAGTAACTGGTAGGAAGTAAGAGTAACATAAATCCAGATTGATGTAAATTGTTGGGTAATTAAGACTTAAGAGGATTGACTATTTACGGGTTAACTAGACGAATAAGCTTGGAAACAAGGAGACAGAGTTCAAAATATGTCTCGGGTTAATGGTTTGGAATCATTTTTCTAAGTGATGTTTAACAAACAAACTTTAACACTATATGAGAAGTTGCAAAAAAGGTGGGTAGGATCAGTCGTGTTTGAATGAAACAATGAAATTTTCTAAGCATGACAGAAGATGGTCTTATAGAGTGTGCATACCTTGTTATCACCAAGACAGTGTAAGTAAGATCCACCACAGTCTCTTTCTGGCTAAATAGATTTGGTTACAGGATTTTATCATAAACTGACGTCAGTTAAACAACTCATGGAAAACCTGGGGTACTAGACAGCTGTTTTGGTCTAGTTTGGGGCTCTTCATAATCACACACCCATCGAACCCAGGACCTTCCGGTTAAAAGGCGAACCCGCGGACCATTTAGCTACTAGGATCCGACCCAATGGCCCATGAATTTTCAACTCTAACCGATGTTAGTTCATGATGAAATCCTGTAACCAATCATATCCCTGGAAACCAACACTTGAACATAGATTTTATTGAATGATATGATGGCAATTGCCTCAGCAAAACGTAGAAGGCTAGGCATTTTTGCTTGCTGATAATTTTGAGTGTCTTCAGACTGCCCACAAAATGGCCAGTATCCAACAGATCGCCGGCAATGTCATTGCTTAATGTCAGTAAGCCCTTTAGTTTCAAGTTCTCTGGTGAACAATGACCCTTCTCTCTCTTCTTCCAGTGTCTGTGCGTTGACACGTACATGTAAATTGGTAGACACAGTTGGAAGTAACATAAGGTGGGAGTTTGTCCACTTTCGATTGTCTTAAACAATTGTTCGTTTGATAAACAGTTACAAGCTTGGTGACTGGACATGTTCTTTTCAGATAAGAGTTCAGTCTGCACCTTATTCTATCAGCAATATCATCACCTTTGAAGGTAAGCTGTAGAAAGATGGACTTTCTCTGTGCAGTGCTGCAGTTCACTTTTCAACACTAACTTTCTCATATTTGTTGATGAACTTCTGTGGGTAAGCATTATCACACAGGCATTTTCTACAATGGATACCTCTTCCTCAACCTTTTCTTTTGAACAGGGCTTTCTTATATGAGCAAATAGTGTTCTTACCAATCCGTTTTTGCAAAATGATGTGGAATGCAGTTCACTTAAGCATTGAGACGACATACAGGTGTTTTAAGAAGTACCAAAATGTAAAAACCGCCTAGAAACTGGCCTGTCTACCTATTCATTCTCAAAATTCAAGTAGCGTATCAAATTTATTCTCACGTATTCAACATCCAATCCTTTTTACCACAGTAGCTTCAAACTTTTCCTTTATTTTTTAGCTTATCTAAAAATTTGACATGTAATCTGTATTCAGTCTGGTTACTTCCTTTTCAAACTCCTAACTTTCAAATTTGTTTGATAACTATTCTGAATTTCTTATTTATTTTTTTATTTGATTTGATTATAGCTTGATTCCACACCGTATTTTCAGTACAAGTATGGAATTTTCAGCATGCATATCGGTAGCCCAAATTTTACAGGCCGACCATAGATATCGGGTGTGCGTCGGCAGGGGATCGAACCCCGGACCATGTGCATGGTCGGCGAGAGTCCTAACCACTGTGCCACCGAGGCATAAAATTTCTTGCAGAAATGAACAGTATTCTTCCTTCAAGACGCTTACAGTTTTAATGTTAGCCATTTCTCAGCTACAATCATCGTTTAATGTTTTCAGATTATGTAATTCGTTACCTCTCCTGACATGTAATTTGATAAGTTTTGTCCACCAATTGATATTAACAACTTACCTTTTTAGGCATTTCCCAGACATTTTAGAGCACTACATAACTGTACAGCTTTGAAGTGAAGTTACGTGAAGAATATTCTTTCCTGACCTATTTCTTCTTAATTTATATCACAAGGGTATTTTCCATAATTCAACATTATTATTATTGGTGTAAGACTTTATGACTTATCTGAAGCGTTCGTTTGGAGACTATATTCGTTACACTTCAATAGCATTGGAACGCTTTGAAGTTTCAGACTATCAGTAAAGAATATTGTATATTTTGGAGGAAACGTTTGGAATGTTACTGAAATTGAAATATATCCGTGAATCACTGTAGGATCTAGATCATGGGCACAATGTCTGATTTGTGATGGAATTCCTGAGTCCATTATAATTCACATCTTCATCTAGGCCTTCAGTCTTCGTCTCCTTAATTATCACACCAATGAGTGATCTGTTGTGGTGGAGACTGTGGGGATTCTGATAATTCCTTAGTAATATTCACGCATTTTGGCCTTAGTCCCTGCCTAGTGACTACTATTTACTGTCTGTATGAAGCACAGGTTACCCCCTCAAAGATGAAATTGTGAATGCGAATGTCCAGTCCTTATAGCAGAGCTAGTGAACTTGAACAGGAAATCTTTACTCCCAAAGCAATGTTTCGTACTAACTATGTGTTTTGACTGATGAAATAGCTACATGACTGTTTCTATCTCCGGGTGTTTTTCATTCCTTCGCGTTCCCAGTGGAACATAGGGCTTCAAGATAGAAGCTTAAAATTTCTGTAGCAGTGTTTATTTTCACAGGATGGGGTTGCTAGCCTCATGCCCAGCCCAGCCCTCTCTCTTTACCAGTCTTATTACTGACGTAGCGAGGTAAAGGAGTGCGCCGGCCGGGAATCGAACCACGGAAGATATGCGTGGTCGGCGATCATTCTGCCACTGTGCCACCGAAGCACTCTATCTTCGGTAGTCGTGGGAAAAGAGCTACTGACGTTACGTTGCTGCCTTGTGGGTAATAACCTAAGTCAGTCTAACCAGTTTAATTAGACCTCAACCGCCGCATGAAGCACGAAACGATAGTGTCACCCTATTGTTTGGTATCGTATATTTCTGAGTGTAAGTAATGTACCGTATTTGTCACTAAGTTATTAATGAAAGCCAAGGTAAAGTTATATCAGTTCATTAGAATAACACTGGGATTCATTTGTTAAATCCTCAGAAATTTATTCCAATTCAAGATATATTTAGTCATTAATCGATGTCAGCTGGTTTTAAATGATACCAATTTGTGACAAAATCTCTATTGTGAATAAATTCTATGTCCAGCCAAAAGAAATTCACTAACATGGTTCACAAATTTCTGAGGGAATTTTATTTAAATATGCTTACACTTACAGACACCAACATATGCATATTCCTTAGGGAAACATTGAGAGGAACATATAGTCAAACTGCCTAAGGAATAATAATTTTCACATACAATTGTAAGTAGCTATATTCATCTTTTATTATGTATGCACTGGTCAGCTAACGTTCCAAAACAAACTATGAGGCCACTCAAAAATGACAGTTGCATTTTTTCTTCACCAAATCGTATAGTAGAAAATAATCTGATTGAATTTGCTACAAAATAGCACCAAGTATATTCACCCTTGATCAATACTTCTAGCTGTACTGATTAAATAGGTCGATACACACATGTACAGATACGGATATAAGCAATCATGTGTGAGTGCGTGCATTACAGAATCAAGCGAAAAAAATATGTGCCAGAGGGCAAAAGTGTGTTAAACCTACTTGGATTATGGCTTAGTATGCACCTGTACAGCACAAAAACAGTTTTTATGCTTGTGTGCATAATCCAAATTACCTATCCGTATTAAACCTTTGGGTTAGGAAATCTCTTTTTTCTATGCCAGGGGTAAGGAAGATTGGCACAAATACGAACAAGCGTAAAACTGTAATCATCACAGTAGATTGTGCGTATAGGCGTTCGGTTACGACAGCAAACACATACACACACCATCACATTGGTGGCTTTTGGATTATCTCTTCGTCACACACACACATGCACAAACGCATACACACTATTTCTTTCCTACTTCCCATTACAAAATAAACATTTTGGCAGTCTGACACATTTTTGACTCAGCAATACACGCTTACAGGATATTTTGTAGTAGTAAAAATCATTTTTGACCTAAATACACTGACAAAATGAGGAATAAACATTCAAGGATCACTCAATTCACTGGGTTTATTATTATAAAACATAATTAGAAAAAGTTACGTAGCACAGGAACTATCTTTTCCCTTATTCTAGAACATGCCAACTGTCTCAAATGAATGTCATACGATATTACGTGTAAAATGAAAAGACCACAGATTGCTGGGAAGTGTTTTGTATGAGAGAAGACATCAGCTATGCATCTTTCGTAATTCGCATATATTTATTTAAAACTATTAATTTTCTAAAACCGTATAACCCATTCCATTTATTTTATTATTGAATATATATCTATATAGAACTATAATCACACAAACTATTCCTCGAAGAACTCTACCAATGAAATCAATCAGTTATTATCGCCTTCCAGTGATAAATTAAACGGTGTTAATTCCTACTCAAACAAATATCCTGATATACAACACTCGAAATCACATTCAGTTTCATCTACCCTATTGTTGCGTGATGCAAATTCACTGAAATCAGCTGGTGGTGGTGGTGGTGTTGGTGTTGGTGCATATCGTGAACAAAGTCGTTCAGTTGGTGGAAGTTTATCCTGTGGTCAGCCTAGTCCAACATCAACAGTTGAAGATTCGAATACAACTGCATTTTCACCGACTAGTACGCATACACTTGATGCTGAAAATTCTAATCGTGGCCTATGGTTATATCAATCCGAGTTGAATTTACCAACAAACAGTGAAGATACTAGTTTGGATTACACTGTGATTACACCGTATAAACGTTCAGAAAGTCAACAGATATCTATTCTATCTGATTTTGATACTAGAAATAGAAGTCAAACAATAAATAATATTTCATATAATCCAAATTCGGTTAAATACAATTCAGTGAGTTCCGCCATGCTTTATACAGGCAATAACACTAATCAACGCAGTAACAACAACAACAATAATAATGAGGATTATATGAATAATTATTCCTCAGGTGAGAAATATCTATTTTTGTTATTTTACCTTGTTGAATTACAAACACTCAACTACTTATTAACTTTCAAGATGCTCAAGAAGACAAAAAGGGATAAAATGTTGAAGATGCAGGTCGAAGATGAGGACAGTTACTCACGAAGAAGACATTGCGAAATGGTCGCGCTATGTCGTGAATTGGCAGAAGTTAGAATTCAAGGACCATTGGATCGGGTCCCAGTGGCTCAATGGTCTACGAGCTCGCCTCGTAACCAGAAGGTCCTGGGTTCGAATCCCGTTGGGCGCGTACTGCTGAAGAGTCCCAAACTAGGACGAAACAGCTGTCCAGTACTCCCAGCTGGTTTTCCAGTGGTTCTCTAACTGATGTCAGCTCATGATGAAACCCTCCATGCAAAATGTTGAAATATCTTTTTTTGTCCTTCACGTTCCCCAGTGGAACATAGGGCTTCAAGCTAGTGGCTTGAAGTTTCTGTAGAAGTGTTTATTTTACAGGATGGGGTTGCTAGCCTCATACCCAACCTTCCCTCTTCACCAGCATTATTTCTGGCTTAGTGAGGTAAAGGAGTGCGTCGGCCGGGGATCGAACCCCGGACCATGTGCATGGTCGGCGAGCGTCCTAACCGCTATGCCACCGACGCCTCGTTGAAATATCTAAAGATAATATATTTGTGTCTTCTGATTTCAGCGAAAAATAATCGCAAACTCTATTCGAAATTTCTTATCCTCCAGGTATAAGATACAAAAGGGTTCCAGGAAAGGGATTTTTTGTTCGTAGTAGACTGTGGGAGCGTAGTCGATTCTCATTCCTTGACAGTTGATGAGTGATGCATACCATGGTACCATGATTACATTTTTCTTTCATTCCTTGAGTTTCAAGTAAAATACTGGGCTTCAAACTTGAATTTCCTGTAGCGATGGTGTTGTTTTTTACAGGGTGGGATTGTTAGCCTCCCACCCGACTTTGCCTCTTTTATGGGGTTACTTCCGCCTACTCAAATAAGTAAGGCATGGGAACGCTTTGGTTGGGTCTTGTGGTCTGGACTACCTCCGCTGTTGACAGGCATTCTACTACTGTACCAGTGACTCACATTCTTCGTTAAATAAACTTACGAAATTTAATCCTGGTAATGAAGGATAAGAAGCTGGTTATTTCCTTGTGTGAACCAGATAAGAGATGATAATGTACTTTAATTTCACGAGGTTGTATTGGAGATTGTTTAATCAAACCAAACGTCCACTAAAGACGTCTACTTGTTCCAGATTGATATTTCATATGCTACTCTAGCACTGCAATGCAAACTTTCTTCAACAAAGGGTAAATATGCTAATTGTTTGGTCCTTACTTCTGAATGAACATTACCAACCAACTCGGTAGTGTAGTCATTATTCTGTGAGATAGCTCTAAATTCACTGTTCGGTCATTCAAAAATAAATTTCGCCATACAGGTTCCTTGTATGGATGTCTCTATATCTCCAGGATTGAGGTCTAGAAGTTGACTGTTTCATGGTGGCTCGCAGGAAAATCTCCGACGTGCATTTTCGGACTCGTCATCTGGATGTACTTCCACTCACTGGGTGTTCCTATACAAATTCGAACCCAGTACCAACCGTCTCAAACGTCAAAGTTATTGGGTCAGGACTAATTACAGTACATGGAGTCTATGATAATGTTAACAAGACACCTTGTTCAACATGTTTCAACCAAGTTATCATATTCAGATAACAGCAAGTGGTACAACAGTATAGTCCCCTAAACCCCAGAAGTAATTTACCTTGACTAGGAGAAAAGGCATCACAAAATACGTCAACCGACTAGGTCATTCGTTTTGGATGTGATGCGCTTGCTCACAAATCAAGTGACCAGTAAATAAATCTATTGCGTGATTCATTGTTAACGGAAGACATGATGAAAATATCTTCAATAGCCTAGTAAATGAATTTCCCAAAAGATTCAAAAATACCTAATAGCAGCCAGAAGACACAAGGCTTCTCCTTTTGTTTCATAATGTACAGACGATCACAGCGCGACATAAGCTTGGATTATTATTATTATTGTTCCCTAGGGTTCCTAGTGGAACATAGGGCTTCAACTACACGTCTTCACTTGCTTCTGTCTTCTGCTGTACTTTTCACTTGCATCCATGTTAGTCCATACTGTTTCAACTCCTCTTCACACGATCTCCTCCATATCACCCTTGGGCGTCCCACTCACCGCTTCCCTTTCGGGTTCCACTCGAGCACTGGCCTGACGCGCGATGTCACCCACCCAGCGGCCTCCTCAGCGAGTGTCCAAACCATCCCCACTTTCTCCTGCATATTTGTTGGGCGATTGGTTCTTGTTTTGTTTGTTCCCATAGTTTCTTGTTCGTGATTCTTTCCAGCCATCTGATCTTCAGTATAGAACAAAGACAGTTGTTGATATAGGTCTGCAACCTGTTGGAAATATTCTTTGTGACCCGTATAGAAGAACTGACTTGACGTTTGGATAATGTTGTCAAACACAATAACAGAAAGAGAACTTTCGCAAACCAATTATTCAAACGACATTCTAATCACCGACCGAATCCTTATTATTGTGCTTAGAAATATAAAAGTAATAATTTTGGATTCAACTGCAAAGTCGAAGCAGTGGATCAATAATCATACAATGACGCTAAAACAAAATATTTTTTTTCAAATTACGAAATTCAATAACCTCTGTGTTAGCAAACGAAATCTGAGGTGAAAAGGTTATCTAACAAAAATCTCTTCCAATAATTACAAATAAAAGAAGATAAAAAAAGGAGGATGTTTACATCTCTATACCACTCTATGTACATATGCTTCACTGTTTAACATGACTGATAGTGAAGAAATCACCAGTTTGGGTAATGTAATGTCTGAGGTCAAACCGATCATCTGGGAAAACACGAAATAATTTCCACCCTCTCCCTGACCTACAAACATCTGTTATTTCATGTAATTCGTTTTTATCATAATAGACTGCCAGGTACCCACATTCAATTCTCCACTTTAGAAGAACATCAAAGTACATTCTGAAATGAATTGATTTTTTATAAATGTTTAACGCACAAATTAACAGTGGTGTTAAAAATCAATGAAAAAGGTGAAAAATAATCTTTTTTTAAACAGGGGTGCATTTCATTCGTCTTTGCTCTATTCCATGTTCTCAGGGTAGTGTCTGTCTCTTCCTCTATTACATTCAGGATGTCTGAACGATTTTATGAAATTTTTGTAGGTTGTCGCTTTTGGAGCTTTTTTAATACTGACAGTTTCATATGACATAATTATTTGGTTGCATAGGCCTACATCTTACATAAATCGGTTTATAGGATTTTTAGGGACTTTTGGCTAATTTAATTGGATAAATTTTAATGGTGAACAAACATTAGTTAGAGAGATCACTAAAGAACAGGAAGCACCGGATAGCTGTTTCAACCCATCCTTGCACTCTACAATCGTCGCACACTCAAGACCCAGTCATTGAATCAAGGTTGTGTAGTGGATACTCATCGAAGACATTGTTTGATGTTAGCGCTATATTATGAGATGACAAGGTTAGAATTCACGGGTCATTAAGTTCCATCCCAAATGACTGAATGGTCAACAGACTTGGTCTAATAACCTGAAGGTCCCAGATTAGATCCCTGGTGGAGTCGTGGGTGAGTACTGAGAAAGATCTTTAAAATAGGAAGAAAAAGCTGATCAGCTCTCCCTAGTTTTCAATAATCTCTCTAAATAATTTTACATTTGAAATTACATAGGTTTTTTTTAATTTCTTGGAGGGTAGAAGTAAAAAGTATTTTGATTACATAATGGAAAATATCAGTTTGAATTGAAAGAGGTTAGAAGTTCATTCTCACCATTCAGCACAGTCTGTTGGCCAAATTTAGTTGGATGGAGGATTTCATCATGAGCTGACATCAGTTAGAGAACTACTGGAAAACCTGGAAGTACTGGACAGCTGTTCTGTCCTAGTTTAGGACTCTTCATCAGTACGCACTCACCATCAGGGTTCGAACCCTGGACCTTCTGGTTACAAGTCAAGTTCGTAGACCAACAGGCCACTGAGACCCGAACCAATGGCCCAAGAATTCTAACTTCTGCCAATTCACGACATAGCGCAACCATTTCGCAAGGTCTTCTTCAATGAGTTACCGTCTCATCTTCAACCTGCCTTACCCTACTGGTCATGGCTTCCCACTAGAACCCCAGGTCACTGCCCGAATAGGGCCAGCAGCTAGTGAGCATCAGACTTATTTTCAAGTATTGGTTTTTTAGGGATTTTGTTTGATTGCATGGAGGATTCCCGATTTCCAATTGATTTTGTTATTCACCTTTAAATAAATATTTCACTTACGTATGACCTTTGCACTCACGAGTTATTTTATTCCTCAAACAAATGTTATATGAACACTTTATCGTATTTTTTCTAGAGAATTGGTCACCATTAGGGAATACCAAGGAAGGTTACAGATGCCTTCATCTCACAGAATCAGAGATAATCCCATCGATACTGATGGGTTTATATTTTTGTTACAATTTTAACTGTAACATTGAATTACTTAATTTACATCATTTTTCTACATTTTGCAGTCGTTGACTTATTATACTGAAGGGGATTTCCCATTCTCCTTTGACATGTAGGAAAATATAAAATTAACTGAAACAATTAATAATTGATACCTGTTTTATAAAAAGCAGTTGTCGCAGCTTATTGGATAGTGTTTTAGAATTGGAAACGATGGGTATTGGATTCATGTTTCAGTGGGAACACTGACGCTCACTGGGGGAATGCATAGACATCTGGATGACGAGTGCGAAATAGGACGAAATGCACATCGTAAATCCGACTGCTAGTCACCATCCAACAGATAACATTTCATGAAACCTTTTTGTCCTTGATTTCAGTTTCTTCTTTTACCTTCCTTCATAGTACTGAAACTTGTAATATTTACTTCAAGGTTTATTGTAAGGTAATCTGTGAAATTTTATGGAGTGCATTGATGTAATTCTTAAAAAGCAAAGTGCCAACATATTTTTTATATTCAAGTGTTGGTTTGTAGGGATTTGATTGGTTACAGGATTTTCATCATGAGCTGACATTAGTTAGGGAACTATTGGAAAACCTGGGAGTACTGGGAAGCCGTCTCGTTCTTGTTTTGGATTCTTCATCAGTACTCACCCACACTATGAGATTCCCAGGACCCTCTGGCTACAAGGCGAGCTCGTAGACCATTAAGCCACTGGGACCCGATCCAGTGTGTTGTGAACTGGCAGAAGTCAGGATTCATGGATCATTGGATCGGGTCCAAGTGGCTTAATAGTCTATGAGCTCGCCTTGTAGCTGGGTTTGAACATCGCAGCGTACGTGAGTACTGGTGAAGAGTCCTGAACTAGGGTAAAACAGTTGTCCAGTACCCCCAGGTTTTCCAGTGGTTCTCTAACCTATGTCAGCTAGTGATGGAATACTGATTTGCTTGGAAAATTTTATGTAACCACTTTGGTTAGATTATTAATGGCCTTTTAAAACATTACCAAGATATTGTTTAACTGAAATGTATGTCTGAAATGGCTACTTTTTGGGATAAGTGCGTAATTAATCACTCTAAATTTTTAACCTATAATTGGCAATTTTCGAACTGTTTTGGTTTGTGGAATCATTATCAAGAGAATGCTTTTTCAATATGTTATATGACGCTATCAGTGCATAGACATTTCGATCTATCTCAGTACTGATGGTTATGTACCTAGAATGATTGTTGTACAGTTAAATCCTGCAGTCTGATCAACATTATAGTTATATTTCCGACATCAGTGTTCATAAAAGTTTGCCTACTTTCTCCTAGCATAAGAGTGATTTGAAATGCAAAATTATCTGAAGGATAAGCAAAGATTTTATAAAAATTATTCAATACACAAAACTAAATACAACCGCTGTCTATGAAAGGCGACTATATGAATAATGTTCCTCGTATACAGCGTGAAATAGCGGCTAACATTAGCATATATCAGGATATATGTATGTATTATTCATAAATGTCAAAAAGAAATCAAGCGAAAATTATAGGTCATACATACACTTCGTCATTGTGAATACTGCCCGAAACCAAACAGCAAAGTACGAACAGTTTTTGGATACAATGAAATCTCATTAACAGTTCTTTAGAGTTTGACGCTTCGAATATTTTGCTTGCAACCTAAGTAGCTGAATATTCAATTACCAAAGCTACTGTATCTCTCTATATTTTGCACAGAAATAAAGTGACTTCATCTGGTTTTCGTTAGCATCCATTGGTAATTTTAGTTGATATTGAGCTCAACTTTTACGATATAAGTAATACTGAAATTTATTGCTGCGTGTATCACTTTAAATCAAATATTTTGTCAGACTCGGCTGAGTAGAATACACTTCTGAAGTACTTCTGCAGTTTCTAACGCCTGAAACAATCGAGTCTTAAGTTTAGGAAGTTTTTTTTAAAGAGAAAGAAAAGACTGGCTGTTTCATAGTAAGTGTTTCATTTGGGTTTCTGCTTGTTGATATTTGTCAGCTAAAAATATCTCCCTTCTTGAGTAAAAAATGTTTGACTTGAGGCTTAGAGTAGCCTCATTTAATGCAGAAGTTAGACTTCAAGACGAGTAATGATTAGCACACTCACACTACATAATATGGCTATTCATATTCTTCAATACCTATCGAATCATGCTGCTCAGTCGTGTGATAATGTTATTGGGTTGACTGTTGTCACTTTTTCACATATTGTTAAGTTATTTAATTCGTTTGCACTGCCGTATTGCTGTGTTTACTTATCACATGAAAAGCATTTTACCATATATTCCTAATAAGACCTTGGATACAACAGATACACTGACCGCTATCACATAACAAACTTTTGTTATTGCTGGAAATCTCTTCTCTGAGCCACTGCGTTTTAACACTTGTAATGATAGTTAATCGGTTGATGAGCAGTAACTTTCAGGAATCCCTCAAAAATGTTTCATATGACGCGTATAGAACAATTTATCTGAGCAACTGTTTGTGAATACACTTCATATCCCACTTTGAATTCTTCTAGACACAACGAATTCAGTGCCATTCATTTTATAAACATTGTTTTTTTAACGAGATTCTGAAAAATGAAAGCGCATAATTGGAAATGAATTAATGACATAATCTCCCTAGTTAATAATTGCAGTGACACGATTAAATCATTTCAAACAGAAGTAACTGTTCTTACATTTTGGGGATTATTTTCTTTTGCGTTTCTCCTTTTAGAATGCAGACACTATCTGTTCTTAGAATTCGTCTACTAACTGCAAATTAGTGGAAATCTATCTGTAGAACAACTCAGATCAAGAAGTTCTCCTTCTTGTTGACATTTATCAGAAATGAATGACAGCAGTACCATGTGATTTCGGTCTTGAGTCACTTAAGCCTAGAATTGAGAAATTTATCTACTGAGTTGCTTAGAAGACAAATGATTTATTGTAGGGCTGGGCTATTTATGCAAAGTAGCTGTTCGTATGTGATCACTGTGGCTCTATGGTTCCAACAGTTGACAAATTTCTAGCATACAGTCATGAAATGTGGTTGTCCAATTATATAACATGACACTGATACTCATTACAATGCACTAATTCCCTCCAAAACATTTACTGAACCCCCAAATATGAAATTATAGTGGATGTGATCATTTCAATATTAAATCAGTGAAAAATAAAACTGTTTTTTAGCTGTTTTCTGAAAATTCCTATGATATTTCCTTTAAACTATGAAAAAGGTCGAACGAAACTATGGTGACAATTCACCAAGAAATGTGTTAATTATTAATCTGATTAATTTTATCACCAATTTTCTCAAGTAACTAGCCAGAAATCAGGTGATTTGAACTGGTTCGGCTCTCTGATTTGAGTGAAAACTGGGTATACCACTGATGACCTCAGTCATAAGCAAGTGAAAGCATCGCCCGGTGTTTAGATAACTTCAGTCTGGCTAGCAAGCACTGCTGGTTGATGTGAGTGGTATCTAACTACTCATCTTAGTCAATCAGTAGTACATAGTCAAAGCGTTTCATCCCAAAGTATTTGGGGAACTCACTGTCTTTGTTTAGGAGCAAAAGTTTTTGCAAACTGATTGTGTAGGGGCTATGATGTGACTGAAGTCTTGAATAATACCAGATTTATGTGTTCAGTAAGCGAATCAATTGTAAAATATATTGGAGTAACAGTTCGAACTGTTTATCCAACCTAGAAAAGAAGTTGTAATGAGGTTGGACTGATGTGCGTAAATATTAACCGAGCAATTCTACTTTACTATGACTGGTGATACTCTGGCCCTCATCTAATAAATCAAGTGAATCTGACCAAATATTACGTGCTTTCCGTAGCTAAATTGTAAGGAGTATTAGACAATAAAAGTTTTAAACACAAGTATCGAATCAAAAAAGTTAGACCTACTTGTTGGAAAGGACAGATATGTCCTTACAAATTAGCATTTTATTGAATTAACCCAGATTAGAAATGTTTCCCACTGAAGTAACGCATAGTATTCTTGTAGATTAACCTAATATCCATTAAAATTCTTTCAAAAAGTTCGGAGAAAATTAAATAACTGCATACTATGTCTAGAATGATGCAAATTTAGGCTAAAAGTGGTTTAACCACTGCCTTAGAAAGTAGAAAAAAGTACCGATTTTCTTTGTAAATTATATCTCATCTTTAAGGTATTTGATTTAGTTGATTCATAAAGTTACCCTCTACCATTTTTTTGTAATGGAATGTTACCTAGGAATGAATATTTTGTGACCATGACTTCAGGGTGGTCATTGCCCACTCAGAAGTAATTGACTTCGATTTCATACCATCAGTATATTTTTATACAAACGGTTTGAAACTTAAAGTTACTCATTTGTTGGTGTCTAGTAATAGAATCCAGGATCAGGATTTTTGTCATAGTTGCACTCATAGCTGGATTTACCTGCATTTCCATCTAAAGACTCAAACTCAATACTCGTTAGTCAAGGCGTTATTCAACATGTCACCGAGTGACTAGAGATGCATTTTGTGAAACAGATATGATTTTAAATTATATACTCATTTTTGTAATTCTACCTTAATTTACCAGATCGAGATTGATCAGCCTCATTTTGACATATGAGTTCCTTGAAGTTATGATTCCTAGTAATGTCATGGATCTTTTCAATAGGCTCACATACCGACAAATATTCATTAACCCTTTATTGTCTGTTTTTTGATAACGTTTTCAAGGTCCAAGTTTTCGAAAGATCCAAAATCTTCACGGTGGAGGTGGAACACAGAAGCGTTTTCCTTCCGATACTACGCTTAATACTACAACAAGAGAAGGACCCCAGGTAAGACAATTTATTTTTTTGTAAAAAAAAACAGTTTGCACTAGACAAAATTCTCTGATAGGATATGCCTGAAGTATGTTCTTATATGTTATTGGTGAGTATAAGCATTTGTAGCTCACCGTTTCCAGTGAATTAAATTTAGACAAGAGATTTGGTAAGTTTTATTGGGACTAGGTTTCTCATCTGTTAGTGATCGTTGGTAAAATTCACCTGAAAGCATCAGAACTTACTCTTCTTGAGAGATTTATGCCTGATAAACTGTCTAGGTAGTCATATGCATTATAAATGCACTGAAACTAAATCTTTGTATGGTCATGTGTTCCTTCTAATATGGAATCCAGAACAACTCATCCCTTCACTGAACTTAGAAAGAATTATTAATAGGTGAAGCTTGAGCACTACATTTCAAGCACTCTGATCACACATTTACTCGTCATTTCACTTTATACTTGAAAAAAGAAAAGAATATCAGGTCAGAATAACTGGTTTTCGCACGCACAGGAGGAGGAGGCTTAATTTTACAGATATCTATCTCCTCAGCATATCTGTACAACTGATGCAATAGATGGCAACGACTAAATATGAACTGAAACACCTGTCGAAAACTGATATGCTTGGAAGTGCTTGAATCGTTGTAGAGAACAGTTCAGTTCAAAGCCCATGGTTTACTTTTTTCTTAAGACAGGTATCTATGTTAAGAATACAATATTCAGTGAAGACACTCTTTTCAACGAATTTATTATCAAACTGTACAATCGTATGTATTTGGTTTTTTGAAAAAATTATATTCCGTTAGGCGAATACATAAAATAATAATAGTAGTATGAAATACAATTAAAATGTTTGTGATTATAATCACGGTTAAATATCAAGTGATGAAACAAATAACGTCATACACAGAATAGTTCATAGAATGTATAGATGTTGGAAGGGGGTGTACAACTATAGGTTTAGCAGGCAAATAAAAAAAGTTACATAACAGAGTATGAAATTTAACAAGATAGAATTTAACATTGAACAAGACCTTTTAAATTTAGAAGTGTATGTGGGATAAGTCGAACAATGCCTGTAACAGTTGAAAGTGCGGATAAAAATAGTAATAATAACAGAGATTCCATCGAAAAGGAGGTTTTATTTGCCGTAGCCAGCTATATAGTTTTTCCTATGACCTAGTGTACATATTCTATGATTTGAATAATAATAATGCCCGTAGTAATGAGAGAAAGGCACATAGATTAACTAGATAAACGTGAAGAACAAATAAATAAAATGTTTATCCTTCTATTGCCAAGGCAGGAATAAGCATTGTACATACTTCTGGCTTCAATTTATGAATGACCTATATCTCTGCTCTCTTTAGAAGTAACTAACAAAGAAAACGTAGCAAATCGACAAGAATTCGATAAATGTCCTTAAAACTATGGCTGGAGTTGATTGAGTGACAGTAGCTAATCAATCAAGTGTTCCAGAATAAAGCTTCTCACACCGTTCATTTCTCAATTGCGAAAACCATACCGTAATGTATTCCCGTATCCATGTGAAAAGCATTCTCTGGCTACACCCAATGTACATTTCTCCACGAGATCAGGTGAACTGATAGATACACATGTAGACAGAACTACAAATATTTCTTAGCCTAAAACCGAGAGAATGAATCAAGTCTCGTTTCATGGAGATAGGCACCCAGCTATTAAAACTAGTTTGTTGTCTATTCTATATACTTTTCCGGTAAGTAGATCTTTTGAGAAAGAGACGTACACCTGATTTCATTGGTCGGCCTGCTAAATTTGAGCTACAGATATCACATACTGAAAATTCCATACTTGTACCAACATACTGTGTGGAATCGAACTGTAACAAATAAATAAATATATCAAGTAACCTGACAGCGGGTAAATGAATAGTATGATAGCTGATTACACTACACTATATATTGTATACCGATTTGCGTATGTTTGAGCATACATTTGTATGTAGTAGTAATTGTTCCTTGCACGTGAGGGTGGGGAACCTGTGGCCAAATCGCTTGAAAAACAGCTGGACTCCCTAGTCTCGATAAATACAAGTGCTGAACTACCAGTCACATACTTATGCAGCGAAGTCAGGTTGTTGATATGGAACAAAATATATATCAAGACAGCATTCAAGAATGTGTTTAAAAGGTCACAGGGACACAAACACCAATATCTGCTGAGGTGATACTTATCGGTAAAATTACTGCACTACCTCTTTTGTCACGAAAACAATTTATTCTTACACTCAACCTACTCTATTAATTTTTGACTGATTGTATCACAAAGAGTGGCGTCTATTATTATTATTATCCTATTTACCGTTTGGTGCGTCAGTGGCGCAGCGGTAGAATACTCGCCGACCACATATGTGGTCTGGGATTCTATCCGCGGCAGACATACTCCTTTACCTAGGTAAACTAGTAGTAAAACTGGTAAAGAGGGAATTTTAGGCATGGGGCTTGCAACCCCATCTCGTAAAAATAAACATCACTGCTCTAGCTTGAAGCCCTATGTTCCAGTGGGAACGTAAATGAATAAAAAACAACAACTCTTAAATTCCTTCTCAGGTCGCTTATTTTGGCATTGAATCCGTATTCTAAAACCTTAAAAACATCTCCTACCTAGGAATATTACGATGGTAGTCAAAAATCTAATAATGTCAGTTTTTTCAATCTGTTTGACCTAGTACTCTGAAAAAATCAGTTTTCCTAAGTATTTTAACCCGGTTTGCTTTGGTAACTCATTTTATTATTATTCTTAAATAGTAGTTTATCAGCTTATCGAAATCTCCATAAATTAAAGATTAATGTAAAAAAACCTGTTTTTTTATTCACTTTCGCGCTCTTTCTGTGTAACTTATTGATCAAGTTATGACAAGACTACTACTATAAATAACACTGTAAATGTCATGGATCATACTTAGTGGGTTTAGCAAATAAATGAATAAATACCACTGGAAAATTCATCGCAGAAAATATCTCTATATACCTATATGATCATAATCTTTCATGCCAACAATTTTTACCCCTACAAAAAGAGTACCCTCTCTTATGTGAAATGTGTGTTTGTGTGTGGGTATGGGTGTGCGTTTTTTTAGGTCAAAATGTCATGTAACTTATGTAAGATGCAGTAGTTAGCTAATAAATTTCTGTATCTATTCACATAACAACTAACAGTTTGTTGGAATTTTACGATGTTCTATCTTTCAGACATTGTATCAACAACAAAAAAACAAACATTCTATTTACTACCCATAGTAAATGATAAATTTATGCCGTGCCGTCATACTGGAGACCAAATTGCGTATATATATATATCCCCTTTTGTCAACTGTCCATTGAAAATCAAGGATTGACATGGGTACTGATAGAGAATCATTAATTAGTTCGTCTTCATTAATTAATTTTGTGCGGGATAAAGTTGAATTCAGTGACCAGTGCATTAATTTCATAAGAATATCAAATAGTACCACCTAGAAGGAGGATTTTGATATATTTCATGAAAATATGCGAAATGTCACTTCAGTTCTTTTAAAGTTCACCTAAATGATTCAAACTGATGAATTCAGTTGAATAACTGATCAGGTAGGAGTTAGTTTTAGAAGATCTATGATCAGAAGAATTGGCTGACCTTTTAGTAGTGTTTTAACATTCTAAATTGAGCGAAGGACTTACTCGAAGAGATGTAGTCTTTCTGCTTTGACAGGTATTTGTAGAGCCTAACACCGTAAATTTTCTGAATGATCATACCCACGAGGCTTGCCTACCAATAATGAAAATATAATCTCATAACAGTAGGTCACTGGTAAAGTCAGAGCTTCACAGCCACTGTACTTCTTTCGCCAACGCTTAGAAATCCAACTCATAAAGTCTGCTATTCATTCCACACTAAGAAAGGTAACCTGCTTAAATCACTTGCCTGCCTATCTTTTCGTCCAGTAAACTTGTTAAATTCTCTCTATTTTATATTATTTCAATAACACGGTTGAAGCCATGAGTTATAAAGTGCTCCTACCCTTGGAAAGGCATGATAATATCTTGGAAACTGATGTATGCTTCAAGCTGAATAACATTGCGTCATATGTTGTCGGTTATTTCACCTGAAGCCTGTGTTCAAGTAGTAATTATTGCGGAATGAAACATATTGACAATTCTGAGCTATATGAAACCCTCTCTCTTGGGTGAAGCTATTATTCTCGGATTAATAAATATTTCAGATTTTGGGGTTTGTAGCGATCCTGATTTTTTTTAACTAACTGCCATTAATTAGAGAGTCATTCTAAATCAAGAAGCATCTGGAGGCCGTTTCATCCTAATTTGCGGCTATTCAACAGTGCAAACCCAAGAGCCCACCAAGGAAGCTGCAATAAGTAGTTAACAGGTTTATTGTCTCGTATTCAAATCAAAACAACTAATCCCTTGGATTTATTTAAATAGGGCATTAAGAAGGCAAATATTGAGAGATGATATCATTTCATGGTTTCTTTACAATTGCATTACAGTCAGTATTTTTTTTATTCCTTGACGTTCCCGGTGGAACACAGGCCTTCAAGCTATAGGCCTGAAGTTTCGGTAGCAGTGATGTTTATTTTTACGGGATGGAGTCACTAGCCTTATGCCCAACCTTTCCTCTTTATCATTCTAATTACTGGTTTAGCGAGGTAAAGGAGTGCGTCGGTGGGGGATCGAACCCCGGACCACATGTGTGGTTGGCAAGCACTCTACTGCTGTGCCACCGATGCACTACAGTTAGTACGCCTGACAATTATTTAGTTACATAAAATAGTAGGTTAAATAGTCCAAGGCAGAGACGGGTTGAAAATTGTTATTTTCTTCACTTATAGTTTGGGATGCATGCAACTAATCCATACGTCACTGAATACTTTTAGTAACCTTGGATTAAGGTCACTTAAAATATTTGAGAAACAATCATGAATACTGATTTTGCGACCAAACGTTATCAAATGTTTTGTTATGGATGATGCTG